AATCCATAGGCGTCTAAATATTATTATCATGACAAATGAAAACAAATTGGTTAATAAAGAATAAACATACTCCAGATATTTCTATAAAAACTCAAATGACGAACGCCATTGCCCCGAAATTCTAGCTGATTTACCTCTGGAATACAGTGGAGTTAATACATTAAATAATTGGGCAAAATTCATATAGTACGTAATCCTTAAAATTCCGTTTTAAACTATTGGAATAAATCAAATATAAATATTTGAATGGGAATATTATTCCTTTATTAAAAATTCAAATTTTGAAATTGATTTTTATTCAATTATCTGTGTAATTTTATACTTTTGTCCACTTCTAAAGAGAATATCTCACACTGTCAACAAGAGCGGCTCAGCTTTGTCGGCAAGCGATAAAGCCCAGCGGCATTGCCGATAATTTTCAAGTTTTTTTGCGGGCGTGCGGTGTCTTTGTTATAGTGTACCAGGACTAGGCATAAAAATATAAAAATTATTTTATATTATTATAAGGGGTATTTTTCTAATTTTGAGTAGTCACCCTACAGATGCGATTTTCAATTGATAATGGTAATACCATACAAACGAGTGGATTGTTGTGGAACTTACGGGTGGACCTCTGCGGGACGAGCGCATCGAGTTCCGCAGCCATCTATTCATCAATATGTTGTTTAATTACGATACTAAGCTGACTCACTCAAATGTGAGTTACTCTCAATAGTTTAAAAACTACATGTTTTAGGTGAATGTCTTACTTGAACAGTTCAGCAGTATATTGGTGAGTAGATGGCTGCGCAGAGGTCCACCCATAAGTTCCGCAATAATCCACTTATTTGTACTTGAACAATAACTTATTATATAAAGTCAAAATTTGTAAGATTATGATTATTCACTTTTTGTCAATTCGCCTTTCAACAGGAATTAGTAATGTTACTTTATCAAAATAGTAACATAATGTGACAAGTTATTCAAGTACAAATGAGTGAATTGTTGTGGAACTTATGGGTGGAGCTCTGCGGGACGAGCGCAGCGAGTTCCGCGGCCATCTATTCATCAATATGTTGTTTAATTACGACACTAAGCTGACTCACTCAAATGTGAGTTTTTCTCATTAGTTTGAAAAGTACATGTTTCAGGTGAATGTCTTATTTGATTTGAACAATTCAACAGTATATTGGTAAGTAGATGGCTGCGGAACTCGCTGCGCTCGTCCCGCAGAGGTCCACCCATAAAATCCACAACATTCCTCTTACTTGTACTTGAACAATAACTTATTATATAAAGTCAGAATTTGTAAGATTAGGATCATTCATTTTTTGTCAATTCGCCTTTCAACAGGAATTAGAAATGTTACTTTACCAACCTAGTAATATATTGTGACAGGTTATTCAAGTACAAACGAGTGGATTGTTGCGGAACTTATGAGTGGATCCAGCCATCTATTCACCAATATGTTGTTCAAGTACAATACTAACCTGATTCAATCAGTTATGAATTTTTTTCAATAATTCAAAAACTACACGTTTCAGGTGAGTGTTTTTTTCTGAACAGTTCAACAGTATATTGGTGAGTAGATGGCTGCGGAACTCGCTGGGCTCGTGCCGCAGAGGTTCACCCATAAGTTCTGCAACACCCTGTACAAATGTACAGGGTGTTTTTTTATATATTGACACCCCCTTACCTCCTTTACCTTTACAGGTAGAAAAAAGGTCTAAATACAAAAGTTGTACAGTTTTGGCTGAATTTTTAGAAACCATGGTCAGGAACAAAATTTGAATGTCAAAAATAGAAAATTTTGCATGCTTCCAGCTTTTTTCAAATGGGATGCCCTATATTTTATTCTATATTCTTGAAGAGCATAATGTCCCAATTCCAAAAATATATAGTTCGTCTATATTTGATTGAACAGTCTCTCATATATTTGGCTCCAAAAATTGTAAAAATACTAGGTAAAATTTGAGGTAGGTACTTGGTTTCTCTGATAGTATTTTTAAAATTTTTAGAACCAAATATGTTGGAGCCGGCTCAACCAAATACAGACAAACTATATAGTTTTGGAATCGGGAAATTGTACTCTCCAAGAATGTAGTGTGTCTTAATCTTAATAAAGTGGGTGTTTAATTTTCTAATGCAAGTTTTCATAGTCTAATACACAGTCTAATGATTTAATGATTTGAAAAAACGTAGTTAAAATAATTATTAATTGACTATACCCTAATGGTTTACCCCTTTAACAAGACAACTTATCTGTCTACTGATTTCTATTGATATTTAGACTGGTAATATACTGACAAAACAAAATATGACCTGGCAACACTGCGGTTACAGACTATGGGACAGAGAAAAGGAAAGAATTGTAACATATCGAGATGTTGTGTTTAAAAAACCTAGTAAAATTAAAACTAAAGAAATCGAGATAAAAGCAAACCAAACACAAATTGAAGTTGATGATATTGTGGAAGAAAATCAAGAAAATGAAGAATTGAGACAAGATTTTGAAGAAGCGAGACCAATGGAAGAAGAACAAGAAGTACTCTCAGAAGAAAATCAATAAAGACCAAAAGATGACAGACCAATAAGAGAAATAAGAAAACCAGTAAGAGTTAACGACTACGTTTTGTTAACTTATCAAGAAGCAGTGCAAGGTGAAGAAAAGGACAAATGGTTACAAGCAATTGAAGAAATAAAAAGTGTCTGTTGAAAGACAGAAAAATATTGACCAGTAAGTGGGTGTTCAAAGTGAAGGACGATGGAAAATATAAAGCAAGACTTGTGATACGTGGTTTTGAGCAACAATATGGTATAGACTTTCATGAGACTTTCAGCCTAGAGGTAAATATGAGTTGCTTACAAGTACTTTTTGCACTAGCAGCAAATAAAGAATATTGCATAAAGAAATTTGACATTAACACAGCTTTTTTATATGGTGAATTGGATAAGGAAATATTTATGGACGTGACGTTCCTGAAGGATATGAAACTGGTATGTTCGCTTAAACGATCATTATATGGCTTAAAACAAGCTCCACTAAATTGGAATAAAAGATTCATAACATTTTTATTGAGAAAAGGACTTAAAGCATGGAAAACAGAGCGCTGTGTTTTTCAAAATGATACTTGGTACTATTTTTCTTGCAATATGTAGATGACTGTATCTTTTTTGGTGTTCAAGAACAAGAAATTATAGATTTGTTAGAAGAATTGAATAGAGAGTTCCAAATGGTTGCTTGCAATAATCCATCATCTTTTTTGCCTTGGGAATTGATATTTTTAAAAATCAAGAACACATTATGTTGAGTCGAGTAAAATATATACCAAGAAGGTCATAAGAAACTTTCCCATGGAGAATTCAAAATTTGTAAGTCAACCCATGGCTGAAAATTCGAAAGATAATAATGATAATATGATTTCAATTCAGAGTTTTCCGTTCAGAGAATTGATTGGAAGTTTGTTATTTGACTGAAATAGAACTCGTCCTGATATATCATTTTCAGTTAATGTTTGTAGTAGAAATGAGGAAAAACTAACAGATAGTGACATTGTTGATGCTAAAAGGATTTTACGAAGAAATCTTAATGGAACAGAAAGTGAAGGTATTTGCTACAACAAAGATTCCAATTGTAAAGAACTGATAGGTTATTGTGATAGTAACTTCGCTGGTGATATAAGTACAAAAAAAGTACTACAGGCTATATCATATTTTTTTGTGGAGCTCCTGTTACTTGGTCATCAAGAAAACAACCCATTAATTGTTTCTCTATCCACTACGGAGTCCGAATACATAGCTGCCGCAGAATGTACAAAAGAACTTATTTATTTGAAATCCATGATAGAAGAGATAATTAGTGATTCTGTTAATGTGAACTTAAAGATAGATAATCAAACTGCAATAACTTTAATGGAAACTGGACAATTTAGTAAGCGTTCTAAGCATATAGATGTCCGCTATCATTTTATCCATGAAAAAATAGATGAAGGATTGGTCAATGTTCAATATTGTCCAACTGATAAACAGTTAGCAGATATCTTTACCAAAGCTTTAGGTAAACTAAGATTTGAAAAAAATTTCAGAGTAAATTTGATTCAAGTTTAAGGTTTTCTTCAGAAATCTGATTTATTTTGTAATACTTTTTTGAAATGTATTTGTTAAAACTTTGTAAAATTGTTGAGAGCCTACTTTTGGTAACTTCTGTTTTAATCCCCAACACTGCTGTTCTCTCTACTTGATTGTTTAAATACTTTTTGGTCCCACCATGAATTCGCGGAATTTCGATACGTTGACCTGAATTCTGCTCCCGCTATTCTAAGAAATATAAGTATTTGTTTAAACCAATGAACTGGAATAGCACCGACCGTTGTCGGATATGGCATTTGTATGGCATTTGTCATCTCTCTTAGTGCGTCCGAAGAAAGCTATCTAGTGGGGGATACAGTGCGTCCAAAGAAAGCTATCTAGTGGGGGATACCTTTCCCTCTCTATTGCATTGCTGTTAGGTTTGGTGTATATTCCTAACCTCAAATATAATATTTTTTAGACAAGGAAAGATTTTCATAATTGGTTCATAAGGTAAATAAAGATAGGGATCCCCGACATTCTCCATCTCAATGTGCCGCATTATAGAGATAGCCGGGCCATTTCAGGTACGTTTAGTATTTATAGTTCATTGGTTCAAACCGAAGATGTTGTAATTTCCTTGATATTATCTGAAATCTGAAATCTGAATCTGAAACTTATGTTAGTCATTGATATTTTTGTTTTTTTTCATATGGATCAGTTACTTGGTCCGAGCTTGGTCCCCACAATTTGATTACTTAGGTCTTGCTTTTAATGTTTTTCCGGAGCCTAATTTCTTCAGTCTTCAGGTTCAGGATTCTCGTGATGTCATAGGTGTGCCTATTATTCGAGAATAGGAAATCTATATATGGACAAGAACACTCACAGGTAGATTTGTGCAGGTAGACAATTTATGTCAACGAAACTGTCAAAATTCATCCATTCCTTGAATCATGGCAAGTAAAAAACTTCGTCAAGCATCCATCGCAACGAGCGAATCAAAAAAGGATGACAAAAAAGCAACCCCCAATCCGCGTAAAATGTCAATGGACAGCAAACTCACCCATCACTCCTCCAGTGAAACCATAAATACAAATAAAGACAACGATTTAAGCCCAGAAGCACTCGAAGAAATCCGAGAGGTATTCAAACTGTTCGACCTCGACAACGACGGCACAATTTCCTCAAAAGAACTCGGTGTAGTTATGAAAGCCTTGGGCCAAAACCCTACTGAAGCGGAGCTGTTGGACATCGTAACCGAAGTGGACAAGGACGCCAACGGCTTGATCGACTTTGAAGAGTTCGTGGACGTTATGAAAGGAATTATGACGGAATGCGACAACGAAGACGACATCAAAGGAGCTTTTAGGGTATTCGACAAAGAAGGAAAAGGTTTTATAACGGCTGAAGATTTGAAAGAAACCATTACAAGTTTGGGAGAGAAATTTGGAGAAGAAGAGTACGATGAAATGATCAGCGCTGCTGATTTGGATGGAGACGGCCAAGTCACGATCAATGACTTTTTGGAGTTGATGATGCCTACTAGATATAAATGATTTTGGATTTTTGTGTCACATTGTTTTAATATAAATATTTGAATTTGTTTCTTAGAAATAGCGGATAAGGAATTATGCAGCACTTAGTAGAATTGGATTTTTTCTTTTTTGATTTTACGATTTCCAGATCCTCATTCAAAAACCAATTAAGTTCTCTTCAGGACTTAAGGGCAAACACAATATGATATGTCTCCTGGAACAATGTATGTAATACATCTTCGACAAGGACCCCGTATCAGAGCAAATTGCCTTCCTATGTTTTGTGCCGCAATTACCTAATTGTAACAGGCATGATGAACATATTATTGTTATGGATTATTGACCGATAATCGATGTGTACTTACAATGCGGTTTTCTAATATTAAACTCTCTGAAGCAAAACTATCTAAGCCTTAAAGCATTATCAACTTTCTAATTGAAACTTTCGGAAATTAGTTTAAACTTCCGTCGGATATTCATTTTATATTCCAGACCGTTTTTAGAGTTTATAGCAATTATTATCTCTGGGTTTTATTGATGTTTCAAAATTCCTTAATAATTTACAAAATATAAATGCTGTTTTTAATACTTTGTATAGGTAAAATAGCAAAAGTACTTAATACGAATTCAAAATTAAATTCACTGAAAATTTCTAGTCCTTGTTAAATTATTCAGGCGAAAATTTTCAAGGGGATTTTCAATTTTCCAAAGGCGGAAAATTGAATGTTAGCATTTCATTAGTGGTTGGTATAAGGTGCGCGCAAAACATCAAAATTAACATGTAATTTATCGTGTAGAGGAAAATCTTTTCATTTATCTAGTAGGTATATCCGAGTGATAATATTCAATTAAGCTCAGGGCCCACACAATAGCCCCATTTCGCAGTCCGTAATAATCTCCTGCTTTCACGTCCCTGCTAAGTCCTTTGAGGGTCCCATAGTAACTATAAGGGTCTTGTAATTTAATAATGGACCAATGACGTTCAATAAGGGATGAAAATATAAAATACTATACATGTATCTATAATGATTATTGATGGAAATACTAAGAAATGATAAAATAGCATAGAAAATTTCAGATTCCTATCTATAAGTTATGATTATTTAAATTGCAAATATTGGGCTCTGTGAAGTAGGCAAACACACTTGGAGCAAAAAAGTTAAAATTTTTTCGTTTGTGCTTCAATCCCCAAATTGGCAACCCTTGTATATTTCGGTTATTTGAAATCGCCTATGCTTACTTCACACCCAGCAGGAACAAGAGAAGCACTAACGTTCAGTTACAAATAAATGGATAGTGCTTCAATGTGCTTCAATCCCCAAATTAGCCACCTTTAAATTTTCAGAGATATTTCGGATTTTAGCCTGTCTGATTACTTCATACCCAGCAGGTACAAGGGAAGCGCCAACGTTCAGTTACAGATGAATGGTTAGCGCTTCAATGTGCTTTAATTCCTAAATAAGCAACCCCTATATTTTCAGTAGTAATATAGCGAGTGCAATGGAAATTATTGATAATTTTTAGGAGATTTGCCCGAATGCATTTTTAGTTGAAAAAGTGCACGTAGTGCACGAGTGTTTGTTACATGGCAATTCGCGAATGACATTTTTGACAAAATCACGAGCCGTTAGGCGAGTGCACAGAACATAAAAAAAATCACCTATAGAAAAATATCTCAAATGGGAGAATCGCGACGAAGGTTTTTAGTTAGGTTTTTAGTCAACGATGGCGACACTGTCGAGAGATAAGAGAAATTTACAGGTATCTGTGGTGTGGACAGTGGACAGTGATTTGTGTTGGTTGGTTTTGTCATTTATTTTGTCATTTTAAAAGTCAAAATTTGAATTTTTAAATTGTGTTGTTGTAAACCATGGTCCCCACGCGCGTTAAAGTGAAAATTCAAAAAGTTTTGGTTGAAAAAAAACCCTAATTTTTGTTCGTATTTTTTTGTATTTCCTCGTTTGTTTCGTTTCGTTCGTATTTGTATTTATTATTCGTATTTACTTTGCGATCTACCTATAGCTGCGAGTCTCTTGCTAACTTACTAACTCTTTTTGCACTATGTTCGACATCGGAAACTTCCTGCCAGTCATAGTTTTCAAAAAAATTAGGCGAAAAGAGCTAAAAGGAGTCAGCAAGCCAAATGCAGTTGAACATTAAAAATAATAAAAATATATGAAAAAAATCAATTCGCCTTTTTGTCAAGAATGCTCGATTAGTTGGGTTTTCAGTCAACGATGGCGCTGTAATAGAAGATTTCATTATGACTGACTTTGACAGAAAGTCGACAAACAAAGTCACATAACCTATAAAAAGCAACGTTATTAATTATGGCAGTTGTTGGAGAGCTCTCTTGTCTCTTGTTGAAAAGCTCTCTTGTCTGAGCTCTCCCACAACTGCCATAAATATTAAATTTAGGCCCAAAATTGAAAAAAATATTAACATTGACGTTGCTATTTATAGGTTTTGTAACTTTGTTTGTCGACTTTCTGTCAAAGTCAGTTATAATGAAATTTTCTATTCAAAACCGGTACATAATATTGCAGATACTTTTCTAGAGGTGATATGTTCTGTGGGCGAGTGATTTTATCAAAAAAGTCATGAACGAAATTGCCGAAAAGCAACAAACTTGAATAAAACCTTGAGAACCATTTTGCCTACACAATTTTTTCTCGAGTGGTATTCGTCATGACTATTTCACGTAAGATTGTAAAAATAAATAGAATTCAAAAATATGAATAAAAACTTCAAATTAAAAATATCAGTTTGACAATGTCAAAAAATGGTCGCTGTAATAGTCTAAAGGCCGTTATACAGCTTGCGATTCTATCTGCAATATGCAAGAAACTTGCTCGAGGGCATGCGCAGAAGTGAGTCAGCTGATTGGTTTCTGCAATATTCTTGAAACTTGAATGGCATTGCATGCAATCGGTTTGGTGCCATTTTTCTTGAAGGTTTTCGTGCAAGCTGGAGAATTTTTAACAATTATGATGCTTAAAGTTGCTGCTATTGCTTTCTTCTCTTTATATCGACTTATAATAACTTTTTTTATTTTTGGAAAATGTAAACATCAACAACACAACATTGAAAACCAAAAAGTATGGTTAAGGTTAGAGAAAGAAACAAGTCAAATTGCAAGGTGTAAAACGACGTGCAAGAAATCTTGAATGCAATTTTTTTGCATGCAAAAAATTGCATTCAAGTTTTCTTGCAACCTGTAAAACGGCCTTAAGAGCCAGCGCCGAAAAAATTCTCTGAATAGACCTATCTCGCATGATTAGAAAAAGAGAGCTTAATTGTAATAAATACAAGTTAGAAAGCAATAAAAGATGACATGCGCGCGCAACTCGTAGGCTGCAGTGTAGCCAGATTGTATTGTTGCAGAATAAATGTAGACAATATACAAATCGAATATTATAACATTAAAGAAGTGATATAGTGTCAAGTGTTTTACAATGCCTTATATCAGACAAAAGAAGAGTTTTAAAGTGGATGAACATCGTTTGCACTTTTATTTTGATAAATGTTTCCTCCGGCAACATCGCTCAATGAAATTGCAAAGCAATATGTCAAGTATAATCTTAAACGAAACTGCGGTAAGTTCAAGTAATATGTAAAGAATTAGTTTGCTCTTTGTCAAATTACACGTTACAAAGAAAGAACGAACAATTCATTCTGAACTGGCCCCTGAATAAGAATATGACGCAAGCCTGTCACAAACTTGCTTCTCATTGGACGCTCACCTGCAGCCTACAAGCGACGCGCGCAGTCCAGGTAATAGGAGATAGGTCTATTGACGATTGAGTTTGTTACGGGTTTGCGTCATATTCGTATTCAGGGACGAATTCAGAATTAATCGTTCCTTCTTTGCGAAAAATACAGGTGAGACTGGGAGAAGATCTGTCTGATACTCACTCTGTTAATATTGGAGCACCCCAGGGCTCAGTGCTGGCGCCGCTGATTTTTCTGCTCTTCATCAATGACCTAAAACTACCTGGCCTTACAATTAAGTTTGCGGATGATACAACTGCAGCTATATCGGCTGATAACGAAAAAGAAGCGATGAAGAAGTTGGATGAAATTTGTGACCATATGGTTCCTGGTGTTTTAGTAATAAGCTTATTCTCAACAACTCAAAAACAGTAACCATATATTTTTATAACTCCAAACCGAAAATTGAGCTCAAGGAAACCGAAGAAGCTGTAAAATTTCTAGGAACTTATCTTGACAAACAACTTCAATGGCACACTCAAGTGGATCATGTATGCTCCAAACTCAATTCCGCCTATTTTGCCCTACTCAAGCTTAGACAAGTCGTCAAAAGACACGCGCTATTGTCAGCTTACTATGCCCTAGCCTACCATCACATGTCTTATAATATCATTCTATGGGGACAAGCTGTTGGCGTGGGTAGAGTATTCATCATCCAAAAGCGGATAGTAAGGTTAATATATGGCCTTAAACCACAGGAAAGCTGCAGTCCAACCTTCAAGGACCAAAAACTACTTACTTTTCCGTCCATCTATATATATAAGTGTGCGATATATGTATATAAAAACAAAGATAGATTTCTAAAAAATGTAAAAAATCATCTATATTCTACCAGGAAAAGCAACGAACTTAGCCTTCCACGACATAGCACTGCTTTATTTGAGAAGTCTCCTCAATATGCATGTATAAAGGTCTACAAGAGACTACCAGGAGAAATAAAGACTGAACAGACTGAAAAAAGATTCAAAGTTAAATTGAAGCAATTTCTCTGCGAAAATTGTTTCTATTCCTTTAGTGACTTTATGAATAAAAATGTAAATGGGAATGTTTAATACTATGTCTCTCTACGTCAACGCGATTTAGTTGCTCTATGTTATATAATAATTGTTGTGACTGTTTATAGTATACTAAGTTTATTGAAATACTTGATGTTATTATTGTTAATTTTTTATTATTAAGTACCTACTATTATTTTTTTATTATTACTATATTTTTTACTATTATCATGATTCAATATTGTGACAAAGCCA